TGCTACTTTTACCACCTTCCTGGACAAAACAAAGCCAATAAAATATTTTAATTCCATTTACTTCCCTCCTAACTTACATATTTTAATTGTATATCACACACACATACACACAGTAAAATCCAGTAAATCATTATTCTTATTACATGTAGTCAGTATCCATTTACATTTATTCACTCATTTATCATTTCTTTTTTTCCTCTTTCTGTATTACTGACCTTTCCTCTGGAATCATTTTCTTCTGCCTGAACTTCACCCTGTTATATTTGAGATCTGATGGTGAAAAATTCTGTTTTTGTTTACCAAAAAATATTTGTATACTCTTTTTATCCTTTTTTTTTTTTTTTTTTGGAGTGCCATGGTGTTAGCCTAGCTCACAGCAACCTCGAACTCCTGGGCTCAAGCAATCCTTCTGCCTCAGCCTCCCGAGTAGCTGGGACTACAGGCATGTGCCACCATGCCTGGGTAATTTTTTCTATATATTTTTAGTTGTCCAGATAATTTCTTTGTATTTTTTAGTAGAGATGGGGTCTCGCTCTTGCTCAGACTGGTCTCGAACTCCTGACCTCAAGCTATCCTCCTGCCCCGGCCTCCCAGAGTGCTAGGATTACAGGCATGCCATGGCGCCTGGCCCTCTTTTTATTCTTGAAGAATATTTTTGCTCAGTGTGAAATTCTAGATTGGCAGTATCTTTCAGCATTTCAAAGATAATGTTCCTTTGTCTTCTGAATTCCGTAAATTCTTCTGAGAAATCTGCTGTCAGCCTATTTGTTGTTCCTTAAAGTAATCTTTTTTCCTCTGGCTGCTTTTCTTTGATTTTCAGAAGTTTTACTATGATATGCCTAGGTGTCGATTTTTTTTTAATCTGCTTGGAGTTTGTAGGACTTCTTCAGTTTGTAGTTTGATTTTTTTTTCCATCAGGTTTAGCAAGTTCTTGGCTGTTCTGTCTTCAAATATTTCTTCTGCCCCTTCTGTCTCCTCTCCTTCAGAACTCTAGTCGCTTAGACCAACTCGCTGCGCCTTTCAGACCCCTTAACCTCCCTTCTTTGTTTTCCATCTTTTTGTCTCCTCATGCTTCATTCCAGAAAAATTCTTCTCACCTACCTTCTAGTTCACTCTTTTTTTCTTCAGCCATTTTAAATCTCTTCTACTGATCCACTGAGTTCTTAGTTTCCATTATTATATTTTTCAGTTCTAGATTTTCCATTCGGTTTGGTTCTTTTTTATATTTTCTGTTTCTATACAAACTTCTCAATGTTGTTTTTTGTCATCTTGAACATGGTAAGCATAGTTATTTTAATACCTCTATCTGATAACTCTAATATCTGGACTCCTGCAGGTCTGTTTATGTGTTATTTTGCTGTTCCTAATTTGTGTTATCTTGGCTCCTTATATGTCTGGTGGTTTTTTATTTTGTTCCAAATATTTATTTGCAAAATTATTTATAGAAATAATTGGAGACCCAAGTTAATGTCATTTTTCTCCAAGGAAATTTATTTTTGCTTCTTTTAGACACCTAAGAGCAATAGTATTCCAAATTAGCTATTGCAGTTTCAAGGACTGAGGTGACTCAAAGCTGAACTCTGGTCCCTGTGAAGGATTGCCTACTTCTGGTTCACTCTTATTCCTAGGGGGTGAAAGGGGTTTACCCATGACTCCTCTTTTTCGGGCCCCAATCCCTAATCTGTCCCGCTAGCCTCATGAAGCTGCCAAAACTACTACTGAGACCCCATCTGCCTCCTCTGGAGCTGGCAAATTCCCTCAGGAGAAAGGCAGTGTCAAACCGGGGCTACGTGGACTATCCTCTGTGGTGCTCTTCCTCTGCTGGATTCTGGCCCAGTGATTCTCCACTGTCTTGTTAGCTCTCCAGTGTCTTTAGGCAAATGTCTTGTGGATTTTGTTTACCTCTTCTAGTTATCCCCAGCGTGGGTATCAGTTTAAATTGCCTATTCTGTCATTACTCAAACTGAAAGCCCTAGTATTCTCATTTCATAAATTGGCTAATTAAGCACAGAGAGACTTTATCATTGCTAGCTAATAGCAAAACAACTAATACCCAACTATCCTGATTCCGCACAATGCCTATTCTGTTACACCAGTACCAAAACACACAGATAGATGTAGTAGCATTTTGATATTTACCGCACTCAGGGCCACTTTTCTTACTTACTTTTTTTCACCAAGAAAGTAAAGACACTCTATTCCAGGAAACCTGTAGAAAATCCTCAAGCAAACAGTGCCTCTTTCCTGACTTCCGTATCCTATTAAGTTTGTTTTAAATTTACAATAAACCCTTTTTAAAAATGAGCTACAATTGCCCCCTAATATAAATGCTCTATTTGAAAACCATTACAGATTTAGTGAACATTTGATCAGCTATCACTATTTTTTAAAGTAGGATTCTACTTGTGCTTTAATAATATTGATTCTCTGCTTAAATATATCAAAATTTAATGTCTAATCCAAGGACTGGTGTTCCAGAATAGGGGAAGAGATGTCAGTTATCTATCAATCCGTAAAAAATCACTCTAAAATATGGTGGTGCTTGAAACTATAACAGTTTATTTCTCCTGTTTCAGTGGGTTGACTGGGCAGTTCTGCTGGGCTCACCAAGCAGCTGTAGCCAGCCGGGGCTGATCAGCTAAGATGGGCACACTCAGATGACATAGCTGGATTACTGGGCATCTTCCTTCACATAGTCTTTAGTCCTGGGCTTCCTCATAAGCTGGAAGAAGTGTTCCAAGAGGGCAGAGCCTCTCAAGGATGAGTCTCCAGAAATAACCCAGTATCATTTCTGCCACATTCTATTGGTTAAAGTACATCGCAAAGCCAGCCCAGATTCAAGGAGTAGGATAGAGGCTCCACCACTTACTGGAAGATGCTGCAAAATATCATAGTCATGTTTTTCATTCTCCCACAGATGACTGGATGAAAAAGGGCAGGCGTGCTAGACAGAATCCTGGCCCCTGCATTGTAGCACCAACTCTGTGGCATCAACTAGGTGTCCTACAGTTCACCCCACTGACACTAATGAGTCACCTCATTAGCATAACAAAGACACTTCTATCACTAAAGAAATTCCAAAGGTTTTTGAAGCTCTATGCTAGAAACCAGGGAAAATGACTACATGTATATATACACACACATATTAATATGTATGTATACACATACAACGTACGTATGTGATTATTATTACATCATAGCAACCCCAGGATGCCCACATCCTAATGCTCAGAACCTGTAAACATGTTATGTTACATGGCAAGGTAGAATTAAGGTTGCAGATGGAGTTAAGGCTGCTCATCAGCAGGCCTTAAAATAAGGGATTATCCCGGGTTATTCAGTTGGGCCCAGTTTTATCATAAGAGTCCTTCAATGGGGAGAAAGGAGGCAGAAAAGTCAAAACCAAGGAGATGTCATCATAAGAAAGACTCAACTGGCCATAGCTGGCTTTGAAGATGGAAGGGGCCGCAAGCCAAGAAATGTGGGCAGCCCCTAGCAGGTGAAAAAGATAAGAAAATGGGCTTTCTTCTGGGTCCTACAGAAAGTAACAACCCTGCTGACACTTTGATTTTAGCCAGTGAAACGCATTTCAGACTTCCAATTTCCAGAAATGTGAGATAATAAAATTGTGTTGTTTTAAGCCACTAAACCTGTGATAATCTGCTACAGCAGCAATAGAAAACTGATATGTAGGGCTTAGAAAAAAGAAAAAAATGATATTACTTTTCATCATGTAGGGCAGCATGATAAGTATACAATTGGAGTTTCTTTTTTAGGTGTTGAAAACTGTTATTCTGTTGAAAATGCAAGTAGGTTTACATTCTTCAAATCTCTCTTACTTCTTAAATTATTACCGCATTCCACCTCCAGCCCTCAGTGGGGCTCAAAACTGTCTAATTTAACTACAGAGGATTCTATATCTTAATTAAAGTGCATCTGTGTGTCGACAAACAATGGATTCAGAGAAGAGAAGGAAACTCTTTATGCTTATAGGTAGGATACATTTGACCTCACTGATTCATCCAGTGATAATTTATTCATTATCGTCAACGTACTAGGATCTATGCCAAGCATGGTTTTATATTTAAAAGGAGCTATGATCCAATGCATGATACAAAACTTAATTGGTACTATTCCTAGCTGGTCTCCTTCATAGAATCACTGGTGCCCATAGGTGGTTTTGTTACTTTTCTACTTACCCATGAATTTTAATCTCTTTTCCAAAAGCACAAACTAATGCAATAATAGTATGTCTGACAGTAATGGAGCACTTACTGTGTACCATAACCATCCTTAATATTTTACATTCTTCATCCCATTTGATCTTTGCTACAACTGCTACCTTTTCTATTGAATCACTCCTTCAATAGAAAGGAGTAATTTTATTTTTGGGGGAGGGGGGTTCAAGAGAACCATTTAAAACACTATTTAAAATCTGGCCTTAAACAAACAATCCCACTTTCCAGCCCTTATCAAACAAAATGGCCAAGGTAAATTCCCCTCCATCCCCAATACTACCTATTAAGTTACACTCTTTTCTCCAAAGAGCATGCTTCCTTTGAATAATACACAGTGGTTCTAAAATAGTTTGTTACCGCTTTAGTAAAGACGTCTACAAAATTAAACTTCTTAATGTTGATAAACAATTAAAGAATGTTACACAGAAAAAAACTTCAAAGACCAACTCCATCATTTCTCTTTAGATGTAAAAATTAAGGTCCATGGAGGTTAAGAGATACTTTACTTCCTAGTTTTATCCCTTTTCTACTATTCCTGATGAAGCCCAACATATAATAAAAGAAAAATTTAGCTGAATGCCTGAAAACGTCTAACTTTGAATCAAGGGGGAAGGAAGAATAACTACTTTACTCACAGTATGTGCCCGAGAAATTAGAGGCACTGAGCTTAACTTGACACAGTTAACACTAATTACATGTTAGTGTCCCTAGTCTAGGAATTTTCTCCAGTGAAACTTACCATTTGCTGATTGATTTCTTTAGGAGCCATATTATGTACGTTGCATCAAGCCCAATGACAAGAAGTCCCCACAGATATTTGATGAGGAACGCTGCCGGCATCAAGTGGAATATCTTGGACTACTGGAAAACGTGAGAGTGCGTCGGGCAGGATTTGCTTTCCGTCAGACCTATGAGAAGTTTCTTCACAGGTGAGAATAGACTCAGCAGAGAAGCCTAACAGCACACTGAGAATGATGGAGTCTTCCCCATACATGACAACACATCAGCACATATTAGGCAATCTGTAAATATTTGTTGAATGAGCAAAAAAAGAATTGAGGAAATTGCAAATATGAAAGATTTTCCCAGAAGCAGCGAGAGTTCCTGAGTTCGTGGTTTATGGACCATGGAAAAAAGTTCAGTCTTTTTGGAGGAAATGTGAGCACCATAGTATAGTAGAAAGAACATGGATTTAGAGTCACAGCTGGGTTGGATTCCTGGCTGTGCCCTTTTTTTGCTGTTTGATCATGGGCCAGAAATTTGACTTCTTTGACCTTGTTTTTACATCTGTAAAGTGAGTATAATAATACTACATAGGGTATTGTAAAGATTAAATTAACCTAAGTAAAAAGCCCAGCTTTGTGACACATAATAGGTATTTAATTAATGCTGCTTATCATTACTGGTATTCGTAATTGTCATAATAATGAAATATTAAGGAGTTAAGCATGGAGGCCCTGAAATTAGTCTACCTGGTTTGAATCATGGCTTTGCCATTTTTTAGTTGTGCAACTTTGGACAAATCACATAACCTTTCTGTGCCTCAGTTTCCTCATATATAAAACGAAAATAACAATAATAACTATCTTGAAGGGAAGGGTTGCTGCATAATTAAATTAGATAATATATACAAAACACTTAGAGTAGTCCTTGCATATAATAACCACTTGATAAATGTAAAATATGGCTGCTGTTATTAATTTTTTAATAATTGTAGTTGACAGCTGGGAATCAGAAAAATATTTTAAGTTCCATCTGTTTGTTTTATTGATTGATTGATTGAGACAGGGTCTCACTCTGTTGCCCCTGCTAGAGTTATAGTGGCATCATCATAGCTCACTGCACCCTCAAACTCCTGGGTTCAAGCAGTCCTCCTGCTTCAGCCTCCCAAGTTGCTGGGATTATAGGTGCATGCCACCACGCCCAGCCAATTTTTCTATTTTTTGTAGAGATGAGGTCTTGCTATGTTGCTCAGGCTTATGTATTTTAAAACATTTATTGAACATTTCCTACATTCTAGACTACAGATTCCACAAAAAGTATGAATAAATAAATACATAAAATATAAACCAGAAAAATGCAGAAAATTAAAATACTTTAGATTGGTTGGACAAAAAAGAGTCTCTAAGGAGATAACAATGACAGGAAGGAGCCAGCCATACAAAGATCAGGGAAGGTGGAGCAGAGGAACAGCCAGGGGAAAGGCTGTACTACAGTATTAAGTGTGTCATGTTAGGTGCCAACAGAGTCCAGTGTGGTGGGAGGACCTGAGTGATGGGGCAGTGGGGTAAGATGAGAGCAGAGAAATGGGCAGGGGCCAGATCATGTCCAACTTTGTAATCAGACTAAACCATTTAGATTCAGGCTAGGTGTGATAAAAAAAAAAATCCCTACATTGATGGATTTGAACCATGGAGTGACATAATCTTGTGGATATCATAAAGGGATCACTGTGGCTGCTCTGTGACTAGAAAGCAAGGAGACGTTTAGGGATTCTATTGCAGGAGTCCAGGAAACATAGCCTGATGGTAGTGCGTTGAACAAGGGATTATTATAGATGCAGTAGCATTGCACAGATTCGGGGTGTATTTGGGGGTGAAGTTGACCAGACCTGTTCATGGATTAGATGTGATGAAACTGGAGTAGGGAGGAATGAAGGATAGTTTTTGGCTTAAGCATCTGGGTAAGCATGGTACCATTTGCTGAGATAAAATTAGTTTAAAGAAGTTCGAGGAAGAGGGCATGGAACAGGAGCAAGGATCAGATCAGGATTATTCTCTTGACTATGTTAACTTTGAAGTGCCTACTAAACATTTAGGTAGAAATGTTAAGTAAGCTATTAGACATACATACCTGGAGTTCCGGAAAGAAGTTCAGGCTACGAATAAGAGATTTTGGAGTCATTAGTATACAGATTGCATAGACATTCTTGGGCCTGTCTATGGGTGGAGAAAAAGAGGAAGTCCATGGTAATATTTGGATTTGTGGTCTGACATGAAAGAACCAGCAAAGAGAAAAGAAGGAGCAATCAGTGAGGTAGAAGAAAACCCAGAAGAGGATTATGTCACAGAAGCCAAGAAAAGATGGCATTTCAGGAAGAAAAGTATGATCACTATATCAGTAGTTGCTGTGTAGTCAAATAAGGTAAAAGCAGAAAACTAAACCATTGGATTTGGCAACATAGAGGCCAGAGGAGAAAGGTGGGGCAGAGCCTGATTTGAGCAGAACAGGAAAGTGAAGTGAGGAGTTAGATGCCTGTAGACAGCTCAAGATTTTTGCTGTGCATGAGACCAGAGAGAAATGTAAGCAGTAGATGGAATTGGAGGTCAGGTCAGGAAATACTAGAAAATGTTTGTATGTAGGTGGGGATGATTCAGAACAAAAGGAGAAACTAGTGACGCAGGAGAGAAGGAGATAATTGTAATCAAAACATCCTTGAGAAGGCAAGAAGGCATGCAAGCACAAAGACAAGTGGAAAGTTTGTCAACTTTAGACAAGAGCAGGGACACTTCACCCATAGCAAGGGAACACAGGTGGAGAATATGGATATTGATGCAAGAAGGCTTGAAGCTTTACTGATGGCAAAGATGAAGATGTTCCTGTCTGATTGCTTCTGTTTTCTCATTGAAGTATGAGGCAAGGTCATGGTTAGAGAGTGAGGTTTGGGACAGGTGGTAGAGGAGGTATGAGGGAAATGAGAATACTCATTTTGGAGAGTGGGAAAGCACAGGTTTGTATAATAGGATTGCCACCAGGAAGAGCTGAGTGCCCACTTAAGATTTGAGGTTATAAATGTAAAGTGAAACCACTTAGAAGTGTTGGTTTATTTCCACGAGTGTTCAGCTACATGTGTACAAAAGTAAGAGGTTGCACTAAATGGAGACTCTTGAAATGAATAAAAGTTTACAGCATAATAGCCTGGAGAATTGGAATTTAATTTTACACTCATCCCAAGATTATGCTCAAAAATGACCATTTTTCCTTGTTGAAATCACATAGTTCTTTAAAATTGGCTTTTCTTTTTTATGGAGGCTGTATAATAGGAATGTTTTCATAAGTAGAGATGTGTTCATTCTGAGTCTTGATTTCAAACAGTATCAAATTACATTATTGCAAAGATTTCCAGTCCTTATGTATTATTGCTTGTAGAATTCTAGCAGTTAATCAGGTATAGAATTTGTTTTTGTGTTGTAACCTGTTGAAAATCAGCAAAAGCTAAATATTAGAATGAGCAAGGTGAGAATGGATAACTAACTGTAGGATGGGGCTGAACCGAAAATGTATTATCATGAGATGAAGTAGAAGCTATGGGGAGTAGTGGAAGTAAGTGAATAGTAAGCGACATTGATTTGGAGAGGACAAGGAATTTTGCAAGTGAGTATCTTTACCTACTTTTAATCTCTTTCTAGACTTATTTTACTTTCAACTCAAAAGGTTTTGGTGGGTTTTTTGTTTGTTTGTTTGTTTTTGGCATGAAAGACATTCTGTAAGGATTAGAATATGTTTTCTAAAATGTAAAAATAGAATAGAAAAGATTAAAAAGAACCAATAAATTTCAAATATGGTGTTCTTCATGGCACAACTTCAATATCCCACTCCAGAGCACCGCCAGATGAAACAAAACATGTAAATTTGAAACTAAGTAAATGCATAGCCCACACTATGGAATCAAGAAGGGGGGATGCTCAATGAACCTTGAAGATGAGTCACTTCTAAATTTGATTTGAGGCAGATATGAAGACCCAGAAGTAAGCTAAGGTCGCAGTTATAAGCAAAGACTGCCTGTGGGCTTCAGGAAGCCTTCCCAGCTGCTGTGCTGGGGTTTATCGTTGCGGCAGCACCTGGAGGTTGCCATAATGGCCAGGACAAGTCACCACCTCAGCAGCTGAAATGGGACACTGTAGACATACTGGCCAAGGCTGGGAAGCAAAAGTAGCCACCAAAGAGGCCAACTAAGGCCAAGATGTGCATGGAAGGACTCTGTGGCAGATGAGATGACCATCAAACATCTGGGAAAGACCAGAACCGGTGAGAAAAACCACATAAGGTCCATAAGGTCAAGAAGTGAAAAACTTTACCCCCAAGGAATCAGAGCCAAGGAGTAAGGGACATGTGAAGAAGCCTATTTAATGTTCTCAGAGAGATAAAGGAGGGAATTTTATCCCTAAAATAGGAATATGAAGTTAGAAACAAACACAGGTAATTGTTTAAAAAAACAACTGGAGATTTAGGAAATGAAAATCAGATTAAACACAACTACAGAGTGAATTGTCCATCGATAGGAGACTCAGTCAACAAACTTTAGTATGTTCATGAGCAGTTCCTAATCAGCACTGAAGACAATGAACTACTGACACAACAACAACATGGACGGATATCTCAGACATATTCTTGAAAGAAGATAAACACAAAAGAGTACGTACTTGATGCTGCCCTATATATGAAGTTTGAGAGCAGTTCAAATCAGAACAGTGGTCAGCTCTGGGTCGGAGGGTGTGACTGGAAAGCAGAATGGGGGAACCCTCTGAGATGATGTATCTTGATTGGGGATCAATTTCATGGGTATATACATTTGTCAAAACTTACTGCCTTGTGTACTTATATGTGTACATTTTAGTACATGTAAATTTAACCACAATTTTAAAACTTATTGAGAAACTAAACTTTTGAAAAAAGTGAATTTATGGGCTGGGAGATCAAGCTAGAGACTTCTTCCAGATCTCATCAAAAGAAAAAGAGATGGGAAGTCTTAAAGAAAGGCCCAGTCACATGCAAGGTTGATCCAGGAGTGGCAAAACCCATCTAGCTGGAGCACCAGAGGAAAGAACAGAGAGGACAGGTGAGAAGCAGTACGTGGACAATGGCCAGGAATTTGCCTGAACTGAAAAAAGACATAAAGCCTCAGATTGAAAGAATACATTGACTGTCAAGCATCTGAATTAAAAACTGAAAAAATACATTTTGTTCACTTCTAGATTATTAAAGAAAAATACACATAGCTCCCAAGAAAAGAAGGCAAACTGCCTACGAGGGAATGAGAATCATACTGACATCGGGCTTCTCCTTAGCAACATTTGATTAAGTAGAAAAAGAAGTATCTTCACAGTGAGGGGAAATGACCTTTATGCGTAGAATTGTATTCTATGTCAAAGTATCATTCAAGAGTGTGAGTAAAGTAGGAACATTTCCTGACACACCTGGGCTCAGAAAGTTTATTATTCATAGACCCTCGCTGAAAAATCTTCAAAAGAAAAATGAATGCAGGAGGGAAACATGGGACGCAAAAAAGCAATATTGAACAAATAAATCAGTAAAACTTTGTGTTAAATCTAAATAAGTACTGATTGTAAGGCGGGAGAGAAAAGAAGTCTTTAGTAATAATCTGTAACTAAAATGACAATGGAAGTGAAACGTAGAGATAAGGAAAGGCTTTTGTCCTGTTCATGAAAGGATATGGACGATGATTAACTAGAAAGCAAAAAAATTAATTTAGGTGTTTACGTTTTCAGCACATAATAGTTGCTAACATCTTGAAATGCTTGCTATGTGTAGGAAGCACTGTTTTAAGCATTCCACATGTAGTGAGTCCCTGAAACCACAACCACATGAGTATACATTACCCCCATTTTATGTGCACCATGCAGTGATAATGAGAGAAAATGTTTTCTACAGTGAATTTTTGCATTTAGATTCTGCAGATTTTTTGTAAGAATTTTAGGTTTGAATCTAAATTTGTACTTGTTACTTTTCTTTATTTTCATTTCTTTCATCGAAAAAAGAGAAAAGGATTTTAAACATGCTGATAACCTCGAAAGCTGCTGAAGTCCTTTGGGGAGGTAAAACTAGTTGTCAGAAAGCAGATGAGTTCAGTTTTTTAATTAGCAAGTTCAGGATGCTGGTTTGCTGGAGAACTGGGGTCATGCCCTTTGCCGGCAGGAAGGCAGGCAGCGCACTCGTGCCCTGCCACGTGAGCGAGCACAGTGGCTGCCGCGCTGCTTCCAGCTTCCGCAGTGTGCCCGAAACTTTAAACACACACCATTACCGCCCCTGTTATGAGCCAAATGTGGACCCTTACTCTAATTTTAGAACGAATTTGGGAGGTTTCTGATTTCGTTTCCTTTTTTTTTTTTTTTCCCATGTGACATTGTGTGGTAACACCTCTGTCTTCATATTTAAACTCTCTTCATCTGGCATTGATTTCTGAGCCTCTCTAGCAAGGGAAGCTTTTATTAATAAATGATTTTCTTCCATTCTTTCATTCATTCTGCAAACATTCATTGCCTCATAGAATGGCAGGCAGCATGATAGGCACCTGGTATATGGTGGGGAACAAAACAAAGTCCCTGCCTTTGTGGTACCCATAGACTAATGAGGGAGACTGAAAAAAGCAAATAAAGCCACAAATCAATATTGTGATGAATGGTGTGAGGAAAAAACAAAGCCAGTTGCCTTAAACAGACTATCGGGGGAGGGGTTCCGTCAAGATACGAAGATCAAGAAAAGACTAAAGGTTAAGAAGGAGCCAGCCTTTTAACACATTGACTGCCATGTGAGTTGTATTTAATTCAGGCTAGTTTTGAGCCCAGGGCCCTGTGAAGCAAAATCCTGCAGTTAATTCGTGAAAATCTTGTTGATGTTCTTACTCTTACAATTAATATCGACAATTTAATTCTAAAAATGTGGATTGTGTTGCATATCTCACACGCAGAAAACAATAAAAATAACAAATTAGAAAAGGATCATTTTGTTTTAATAAAACACCGTGGACCCAGGGAAAAAATTTTTTTTTCTAATGTGGCAGTCAATGTGGAAAGGACTAGGTAAAATGCATTCCAGGCGGTGGGAACAGTATATGCAAAAGCCTCTAAAGCAAGAAGGAAGCAAGCACATCACAGAACCCTAAGGAAGCCAACGTGATCGAAGGATGGTGAGGAAGGAGGTGAGCAGCAAAAGACAAAAATGATTTCAGGCGTTTTTGAAAACTGCTCTGGCTGTTTGCAGAATGGATTGGAAGGAAATGGAGAACAATTTAGGAGTCTATTATAATAAAGTAGAAGGTGGCTTGAATTAGGATTGAAGCAGTAGAGATAAGGAGAATTGCAAATATATTTTGGAGGTAGCATCAATAGGACTTGATGATGGATTAGAAGTAATGATGGAGAAGGGAAGGAATAAAAATATTCCCGGGATTCTGGCTTTAGTAACTGGGTGGCTTGAGGTAGGAAAGACTAAAAGGGAAGTTTCACATGCCTGCAGGACCCAGGCAGGCATTGGATGTATGAGTCTGAAGCTCAGGCTCAGAGCTAGACTAGGGGTAACACATTCATGAATTGAAAAATTTATGTATTTATAAATATACGTATTTACATATTTATGTTTTTGTATTTCAAGTATATTATTTAAAGTAAATGCACTAGATGAGGTGATGTGGGGACGGTATACATAGAATCCGTGATCTGAGCCCTGGGACACTTTAACATTGAGGGATACAGTTGAATCCAGAGGAGCCAGAAGATGAGATTGAGAAGGATGATCCAGAGAGACAGAAGGAAACCAGGGAGGGTGTGCTGTCATGGACACTTAGAAAAGAGAGAGATGTCAAGAAGAAGGGAGCAATTAACTGTAACTGAGGGAATAATTAACAGACGCTGCTTAGATATATATTATCTTAACAAGAAATGTGAAAAGCCTTATGAGAAAACTTTCAAAGATTCCTGAAAGGCACAAAAGTAGATTTGAACAATGGGAAGATATCCCTTGAATAAGACAACTCAACACCATATATAAATTTAATGAATTTAAGTTTCAACTCAATAAAACTATTCTTAAGGGGTTTGGGATGGTTTGGTTTTTTAAATTTATTTGCTGAATTCTATTTTTTTTCCTGTAACTATAAAACTTGATTCTAAATTTCCTATGCAAAAATAAACATGCCAAGTAGCTAGAAAAACCTGTAAAAAAGAAAAGAATTAGGAAAGACATTAAACTGTACTTATAGCCTCCTTAGTTAAAACCATGTGGTACTGATATACAGATGTACAGACAGAACAATGAAACAGACCAGAAAGTCCAGAAATAAACTGAAGTGCATATGAAAATGTAGTAGTATATAATAAAGGTGGCATATTAAATCACAGGAAGTAAAGGTGGATTTTTTAATAGTGTGAACAGCTGAATAGCCATTCCTGAAAAGATCAGATTAGATCCATACCTCACACGAAATACCAAAGTAAACTCCAAATGGATCAGAGAGCTAAACATAAAAAATGAAAACATACCAGTACTAGATGAAAATATAAGTGAATTACTCATAATCTGAATATGAAGAAAGCCTTTCTCACGATGACTTAAAATTCAAATGTAATATAAGGAAAAAAATTGCTGAATTTGACTCCATGTATTAAATAACTTTGCATGGACTATGGTAGGCAGCCTTGTAGGATGGCCCTTGTGTGCCCTACCTCCCGGTATCCATGCCCTATATCATCCCCTTCCCTTGAGTGTAGGCTGGACCTATTCATTCATTTTTCACAAAATGGAATATGGCAAAAGTGATGGGATGTCACTTTTGAGATTAGGCTATAAAACACTGTGACTCTGCGACTTTTGTCGTACACTGACTCTAAGCTGCCATGAAGCAAGCTGCCTTACGAGAGACTTACGTGGCAAGGGATTGTTAGCTGCTTGTATGTAGAAATGCAGTAATTTTTGTGTATTGATCTTATATGCAGTAACACTGGTTAATTTTCTTTTAGTTATAATAGTCTTTCTAAAGATCTGCTTGATTCTCTTTGAAGAGAGTCACACTGTTCATAGGTCATGTCCATTTTGTACCTTCCCCAATCATTTACCAGTTTATCTATTGGTTTCACCATGCCGGCTAGACCTCCAGAGCAATGCCGACTAGAACCCATGATAGAGGCATCCTTGTTTTGTTTCTGTTTGTAAAGAGAATGCTCCCAAGATCTCCTCTTGATGAATGATATTTGCTGTAAGTTTTTAGTAAATAGCGTTTATTAGATTAATTAAATCCGTTCTATCCCTAGTTTAATAAGAGTTGTTATCATAAAGAAGTATTTTGTTTTACTGAGGCCTTTTTTTTGTGCATCTCTAATAAGGGTAATGAAATTCTAATACTAGTTTACTAAGAAGGTTTTGTTTTGTTTTCTATGAAGTATCTTGAATTTTATTGAATAGTTTTTCTATTGAGATGACCATATGGTTTTTCTCCCTTAATCTGTACTCTGTTCATTTTTCACTCAGATATAAGATGATCTCTGAATTCACCTGGCCCAACCACGACCTTCCTTCAGACAAAGAGGCTGTCAAGAAACTGATTGAACGGTGTGGTTTTCAGGATGATGTCGCTTATGGGAAGACCAAAATTTTCATTCGAACACCCCGAACGTTGTTTACCTTGGAAGACCTCCGTGCCCAAATGCTCGTAAGGATTGTCCTCTTTCTACAAAAGGTAATTTTATATTTAATATATATAAGGATAAGATTTTGCTCTTATGTTCTTAGAAATTGGTTGAATGTTTTCTTTAATTCAAGAAATGTTCACGGATGGTATATTTTGTGTATGTCTGTGCATATCTTAAAATGTTTTCTATTCCCTTCACACATGGAAAACTTATTTGGCTGCCCAATTTCAAAATTATTTCATCTTCAAAACTCAGAGGACATTTTGTCCTCTGGTATTTAAAGTTGGAGAGACGTCTGAACCAGTCTCCTTTTTGTCTTTTATAGCTAACTATGTGGGGGTTTTTTCCCAGCTTAAATGCATTAAGGACTTTTTTATTTTGTAACTAAAAAATGTTGCCAACGTGTTTGAAACCACCTCCTTCACTCATCATTACCTCACCCCCGCCACCACCTGACCTCAGGTGTGGAGCGCTGATGGATGGTCATTAGTTGATAGTGCTGTTCCTGTCATCACTGATCTGTGCAAGGCCCCTTCTCATTACAGTCACTCATTCATATATTTCTTTGTATCCCCATACCCTTTCCCATATCTTCCATATGAACCATTTTAATGCAAAAAATTATGTATGTCTGTAAAAAAATTATGTACCTCTGTGAGGTTGTCCTTGGGACATACATACCGAGGAGGAAACTTGCTGGGTCACAGGGTATATGTGTACCTAATTGGTATAAGTAGTGCCGGGTTCCTCTCCTGGGTGACTCTGCCAGTTTGCACTGCCAGCAGCTGTATATGAGGGGTACCGTGTGCCATATCCCTCCTACCAGTATCATCCAGCTACCTAAATTTTGTCAGACTAATAGGTATAATATCTTCTTGTTGTTTTACTTTATATTTCTCCGATTATCTTTAAATTTGAGGGTCTCAGTAAATACTTGTTTGCTTGTTGGATTTTCCTGTAAACTATCTGTTCGCACCTTTTGTATGTTTTTCTACCAGACTTGGTACTTTCTTGTTGATTAGCAGAAATGCCTTGAATATTCTAGACATTAATCTCTTATTCACTTTGGACATTATAAATATAGTCTCCTATTCTGTAGGCATTCTAATGAATTTTATCCATAACATGCTTTGTTGAACAGAATTCTTAATTTTTACATAATCAAATTCTTCAATTTTTTTGCCTTATAGCTTGTGCTTTGGAATTTTAAGAAGACTTTCATTGTCTCTAGGTCACAAAGATAGCATCCTATATTTTCTTCTATGAACTATATAGTTTTATTTTTCACATTTAAATCTTTAATCCATTTAGAATCCACCTATATATGTAGTTTTATATAGGAATCTAGTTTTATCTTCCTCTGTATGGTAAGCCAGTTTTCTCAGTACCATCTAAACAGTCTGTCCTTTTCCCATTGATTCATGGTGCTACTTTTATCATATATTAAATTCCCATACACACACACACACACACGTATTCTGTCTCTGTGTGCTCTATTCTGTTCCATTTTTCTATTTGCCTGTTTTTGCACTAATACCACACAGCTTTTATTGTCATATGTCTTAGTGTATTGTAGGATAAGTCCATCTTCCCTACTCTTCATTATTAGAGTTGATTAACCTATACATAGACCTTTATTCTGCAATCTGCATTTTAATGTGTATAATAAATTCATTAAATTCAATAATAATTTTTATTAGGATTGCAGGGGATATAGAGATTAATTGGGAAGTATTAACATTTTTATAATACTAAATCATCGTATTAAGATTATAAAATAGGTTTATTTAAATCATCTTCATTGACCTTTAGACTTAGGCCTTATAAATTCACGGTTAATTCCTAGATATTTTATTGTTTTTGTTGCTACTGTGAATTTTTTATTATAATTTCTACATGATACAGAGAAATAATACTGGCTTATGTTGCTTTATCTATATCCATAACAAAACCTTTCTTGGTTCATATTTGTTGATTCTGTTAGTTTTTCCTTAGGTAAATAATTAAATCACATATAAATAATAAAAGTTTTCTCTTCTAATTGCCAAGCTGTTTCTTAGTGTTGGTTTCTTTTCATTTATTTTGCCTGGAACTCAGAAAAACTTTTGGAGTGAAATACTAAGTTCTGTTTCATCCCCAGTTTCCTTCCATTGTTTTTTAAAATGTTGCTTTTCTTCAGTTCTGTTTTCTTTCTCAAGAATGCTTGTAAATTTGCAAGTTGGATCTCTGTTTTCTGCCTGCCATAGTAAATTATTCTCATGCATCTGTTCCTTTCTGTCTTCACATCCTTGAGTCCTTTCCCTTGATCTGAAGTACTTAACTCTGTGTGTGTGTGTGTGTGTGTGTGTTCTCCAGATCTGTTACTATGTCTGTCTTCTTTCTACCTATACAAGAGATTGATTCAGGCTCAGAGTTAGGCTCTGAACCAGAGTGACCATACCTCTCAGTTTGCTTGGGACAGTCCTGGTTTGTGACCATTCCCTGTTGTAACTGTTAATATAATATTACCCCTTTCACTCTCAAGTGTCCCAGTATGGATAATGAACTATATAGTCAGCCTACCTTGAACTCACCTTCTGTCCACCTGGTAGATGATAGAACCCTCTTTTTATTATCTACAGTGGCAGTTTGTTCACTTCTTGCACAATTATCAGTGTCCCACAGACTTTAGTCTGTTACAGCTCTGCTAGCTGAAGATGGGGTCCACCCTTCCTCTTCCAGCCCCACAGCCCAGCTCATACATAAGAAGGTATACTTCCAGGTAAACACAGCTACTAGAGTTCTTCCTTTCTTGGTCCCCTCTGACAGCACTTTGCTTCTAGAAATGTAGCATGCCATTACCAGTCCCTACCTCTGCTTTCTTCCTGGTGAGAAATTACAATCTCTACCTAGGAAAGAGCAATTCTAAAACAGAAGAGATGCCTGCTTCAAAAACTATCACCCATGCAGTGGAAGGAAAGCCATCCCGTCTTCTTGGTGAGATAAATCTCACATTTCTTAACCATAAGGCAGTGGAGTAGGAAATATAAGGATCTCCCTGTCTATTCTCAGGGAGACCATTCTAGGGTATGTTATATGTGATTATGTTTTTTAGACCAACTCCATTGGCCATAAAATTAGTGGAAAGGTTGGGCACCGTGGCTCATATCTATAATCCCAGCACTTTGGGAGGCTGAGGCTAGAGGATCACTTGAGGCCAGGAGTTCAAGACCAGCCAGGGCAACATAGTGAAACCCCGTCTCTATAAAAAATATTTTTTAAAAAAATTTTTTAATTAGCTGGGTGTGGTGGTGTGCTCCTGTAGTCCTAGCTACTCGAGAGGCTGAGGTGGGAGGATTGCTTGAGCTTCAGAGTTGGAACTACAGTGAGCTATAATTGTGCCACTGTACTCCAGCCTGGGCGCCAGAGCAAGGCTCTGTCTTGAAAAAAAAAAAAAAAAATTAGTGGAACTTTCTCTGAGCTTTTGGGAATAATAGGTCATCAGTCACCTAACATATGTGTGTTTTCGCTTTTTTTATACCCTTATAGGAATTTAATGGGAAGTCAGGAGAGGCAGCATTAGGAACTATTTTAAACAAGAATCTCCAACAACTGGTTTTTACTTCCTTTTTAAATAAAAAAGTTTTATCTTTTTTCTGATTATATAAGTAAAATATGCTCATTGTAAAAACAAATTCAAACCATACGGAAGACTATAAGGGAAAATGTCAACACTCACCTAAAATCTCACCATCCAAAGGTGGTGGCCACGCATTTTGACATCTTTTGTGCACATATATTAATACAGGCATATATATTATACTATGAATAAGATCATAGTTTATATGAGGATATTTTTATGATCGCCTTTCTTTTCTTCTGTAGTATTTTGTTACTTTTTTCCTCCACATTTACCTTCTCTGCCCACGTTTCTTCTCGTCCCCTGTGTTAAGAGTCCCCACAACCTCAGCTTCAGAGATCTGGTCCCCCAGAAGGATTCACAGGACTCAACATAGAGTTGTGCTGATGAGTAAAATTTATTACAGCGAAAGGATGCAGAGCAGAATCAACAAAGGGCACATGGGGCAAAATCCAAAGGAAACCATGAGCAAGCTTCCAAGAGTTCTCCCCCAGTGGAGGTGCATCACACATACTTAATTCCTCCAGCACTGAGTTGTGTCAGCCCGCATACCAAGTGTCATCTACCAGGGAAGCTCAGTGATCAAAGTTTTTATTGGGGGTTGGTCATTTAGGCACCCTCTGCCTACTGTGTACCAAAATCCCAGATTCCCAGAAGGAATAAGGTATTCAGCACAAACTGTACCGTTTGTACAAGCGATTTAAGCACAGTGAGCCACTCTGATCACTTAGGAAACGTTTTATATCAGTGTGGGGAACTGTTTTACCAGCAAGTTCCCAGACACCAGCCAAAGGCCAACCTCACAAGCAGGCCTTTGTAAGAATAGCAGTCTCAGGCTTGCTATGTTAAATCTTTTCGGGACACCCTCACGGTCTTCCCATAACGTTAATAGACTTCCTCATGCACATAACATTCCAAACTGCTGCCTTCATTTCTATGCACTGGATTCCCAGAGCAAAACTGTCGAGTTGAAGAATATATATGTTTTTGATCATAACAATTCATGTTTCCACTCTATGTATGTGAACTCTTTTCCCTAAATTTTGACCACAGTGGCTTTTACCAGGCTTTACATTCTGATCAGTAAGAAATGATGTTGTATTTCTACTTTATTTATTTCCATTACTATTAGTATGTGTTTATTGGCCTTTTGGATTGCCTCTCTTGTTATTTGTTTATTCATATTCTTGGCCCATTTTTCTGTCGGGTTGTTTGTCTTTTTCCTGTGAATTTGTGAGAGCTATCTGTATATAATATGTGTTAATTTTATATATTACACTTATTTTTGTTACAAGTATTTGTCATTGGACTCTGTTCATGGTATACTCTTCCATGTGAAAATTTTCACTGTTAATATGATGAAATATGTTTTATCTTTTTTCCTATAGCTTTTGGGTTTCTTAAAAAAATTATTGATCTGGAATTTAT